TGGCAGGGTAGAGCGCAGCCACTGTGCCTGCCCACCACTGTGGCCATGCTTTGGCTGCTGGCCTGTGTTTTGGGAGATCTGGATCCACCATGGTGCTGCAGTGAAAGTTTGCCAGCTGCAAGGATTCTGAGACATCCGGAGACCCAGCACCTGGCTGTGCCCCTGTATCCCATCTCACGCTGGGCTTCTGAGTTCCTGCCAGGCTGGAAAGGGTTAGGGTAGCATGCTGGGGCTTGCAGGCTGACCTTTCTCTTGTGAGTTGGGGATATGTGGGCCTCTCCAGTCTCCAGGGCTGGTTGTGTGGTGGTTTCCAGGCCTGCAGCAAGCCTGAGGGCTCTGGGATAGAGTTTGGGCCTAAAACTGGTCTGTCTCACTTCTGGGTCAGAGGAGGAGTGATCTGCCTGGCATGGTGCAGGCAGGCCCTGGTGCTGACACAGCTGGTTTTATCTCCCTGCAGATCGGGGCAATGACAACTGGCTCATCAAGTACGACTGTCCCCTGGACAGTGCGGGCGTGCGGGTGAGTGGCTCTTCCCGGGTAGGGTCTCTGCGGGGGCTCTGCTCCTGCAAGCTGCCTGCCTGGCAGGTGGGCTGGGAATTTCCCAGCTGGCTTGGGTTTCTGAGCATGTGGAGGCCTGATCTGGTTTCCTGGGCCTCTCGTTGTCCTCTGCATTGGTGATTTGTGGCCTAGTGGGACTTTGTGACGATGCAGCTGGGCTCTGTGGGGGAAGCTGGTGTTGCTGGACCTGTGCATCCTTGGAGGGAGCAGCTTTGTCCCCCTCCCACCTGAAGCAGATGGTGTTTCCCTGTGGGCAAGGGGCCACATTGCAGGCAAGAGGTTGCTGTGCCTCTGTGGTAGCCAGGGTGAAGATCCTGGCAGTGGGGCTGCCGGAAGTGGGAGAGGGACTGTTCCTGCTGGAGAGGCCTCCTTGTGACATGCCTTGCTTCCTTCCAGGACAGTGACTGGGTGGTTGTGAAGGAGCCCATCATCAAACTGGCTGCTATAGACAACGGTTTAGCCTTTCCCTTGAAACACCCAGACTCCTGGAGAGCATGTGAGTCCCTCAGGCTGTGCCAGGGCACCCTGGCAGGCCACACAACTCTGTGCTCGGGCATCCTCCTCAAGGGCTGGAGAGGAGAGGGCTAGGGCTGTCCCTCTGCAGGCCTTTTGGGTTCATGGGCAGCTCTGCCTCAGCAGAGGCTTTAGAAGTGGCTGCTGGACCCTGTGTCTCAGACACAGGTGACCTGGCACCCAGGGGCATGTGGCACCATCCTTTGCCTTCCCCAGCTTGAATATCTCCTCCTTCCTCCCACAGATCCGTTCTACTGGGCATGGCTGCCCCAGGCCAAAATCCCCTTTTCACAGGAGATCAAGGACCTGATTCTTCCCAAGATCTCAGACCCCAACTTTGTCAAGGACCTAGAGGAAGATCTGTATGAGCTCTTTAAGGTGAGCTGGGGGAACAGGTGAGGATGGCTTGGGAGGAAGAAAAGTGAGGCTGGTGTTGGGGAGCTCCCTGTCAAGGCTGCAGGGGACAGAAAGGTGGCCAAGCTCCTGACAGTGTTTCTGGGCTGAGGCGTAGCAGGGTTATGCCCTCTGCCAGGAGCTGAAGATTCAGTGTGGGGAGACGCCGGAAACCCATGGGACAGGAAGAGAGAGGCTTGCTTGGGAAATAGGCATCTCTTGCATGGCGTGGGGCAGTGGGTGGGTCCCACTGTGTTCTCTGCTCTATCTCTTGCAGAAAGACCCTGGATTTGACAGGGGACAGTTTCACAAGCAGATTGCTGTCATGAGAGGCCAGGTAAGCAGTGTGTAGGGA